CAATGGCTGAGAACCCTTTCAGTGAAAAAATTTTTCCTAATATCCCGCCTGAACCTCCCCTGGTGCAACTTGAGGCCATTTCCTCTCGTCCTGTCACCTGTGACTTGAGAGAAGAGACCGACCCCCATCTCTCTACACCCTCCTTTCAGGGAGTTGGAGAGAGCAATAAGGTCTCCCCTCAGCCTCCTCTTCTCCAGGCAGAAGGGAATAATACTATCAGGAAAAAAAAGCTTGAACAATAATTTGCCCAATTTATAATTGTGACAGTGTTAAGAAATGAGGAGGGACCCAAATTTTCCAGAACGCCCTAAAGAAAAGTAAAATACGAAGTATTCTTTTCTTCAGAAACAATCTCGGTGCCCCAGCTCCGGTGGCAGGATGCTGATCTGCTGCGTGTGGGCAGCCCTGGCTCCTGCAGCGCTCACCTCCTGCCCCATCTCCTCACCTGGGGCCCGGGACACACCAGGGCAGAGGAGCCCACGGGGATTCACCAGCTCTTGTTACAGCACATCCGCCATCAAAAGAGCATTGAAGTATTTTCCTTTTTCTTCCAAGTCTACCCAATGAAAAAGCTATTTTAATATTCCGTATTTTAATGATCCATTTGCAAAATAGAATTTAGAATTTAAAAAAAAATTATTAAAGCCTTCGTAGCAGGACCTGAATAACACAAAAGCTGGAGTGTGGCTCCAGCTAAAACCCAAACCAGCTTTCATTCAGTTCTCACGAGACCTAACTTTGCTTGTAAGCAATTTGCAAAACCAGAAGGTGCTATGGGCATTCAGGTACAACATTTGGGCAGAGTGAGAAGTGGATGTGGAGCAGGGTGAAGTTCATGGGCACTGCAGCTACAGGCCTAGAAGAAGTCAATGTCCTTCTAGCAGAACACGTGGAAACGTTTCTTGTTTGTGCAGAAGGGAAGACTTGGCCTGCCTGAGAGCTGCTTGCTACTGAACCACCCAGCACCCCACTGCCAGCGCCCCCGGCCCAGTGGGGATGGTGGGGCTGCAGGGGCAGCCAGCCCTCCTCCTCCTCCCCCTGCTGAGGATGTGGTCCAGGCTCTGAGCACTCAGCGTTACATCCCCCAGTGCCAAGTTTACATGACACCAAGCATGAATTGCAGCTCTATGAAGTGAACCTGTCACACTCATCCAAATTCACGTGAGAAATTTGTCAACTTAGAGATGTGGGCAGCAGGCAAAGCAGTGTTAGGTGGCCAAGAAGGCCAATGGCATCCTGGCCTGTATCAGGACCAGCGTGGGGAGTAGGACTCGGGAGGTGATGGTCCCCCTGTCCTGGGCACTGGTGAGGCCTCACCTCCAGGGCTGGGTTCAGTTCTGGGCCCCTCACCACAAGAAGAACATTGAGGGGCTGGAGCGTGTCCAGAGGAGAGCCACCAAGCTGGGGAGGGGTCTGGAGAACAAGTCCTACGAGGAGAGGCTGATGGAACTGGGCATGGTTAGTTTGGAGAAGAGGAGGCTGAGGGGAGACCTCATTGCCCTCTACAGCTCCCTGAAAGGAGGGTGTAGAGAGGTGGGGGTTGGCCTCTTCTCCCAAGGGAATCATGACAGGAGCAGAGGAAATGGTCTGAAGTTGGAGCAGGGGAGGTTTAGATGAGATATTGGGAAGAATGACTTTCCTGAGAGGGTGGTCAGGCACTGGAAGGGCCTGCCCAGGGAGGTGGTGGAGTCACCATCCCTGGAGGGATTTAAGAAACATGTAGACGTGGCACTTCAGGGCATGCTCTAGTGCCCGGGATTGTTGGGATGGGTGTCTTGTTTTGTGTTTGGTTTCTTTTTTCTCTTTTGTGTGTGTGTGTGTGGTTGGACTTGATGATCTCAAAGATCCCTTCCAACCATGAAGATTCTGTGATCTGATACAGGAGGATGGACAATTGAGCATCTGCTAATGAACTGGTCTTGTTACCAGAGAGTTTTCAGAGCAAAAAACACTTTCAAAAATCAAGTCTGTTATAGGAAAAAAACAAAACCAAAACACACCACTGTGAAAAACACATCAAGAAACAAAGACTGAATCTTCTGACACAAAGATCCTTTTCCACTGCATAATCAAAAAAAATGAATTGTGCGAGATTAAATCCATATGATTTTATTAATCATCTTTGCTCATCTGATCAGTGCTTCAAAGTAAGTAAAAATTACAAGATTTAGAAGGAGGCACAGCGTGGTATGTAGATGCTGCCTGATTTTGGCAGTCAGGTGAACGTAGTTGCACAACTTGGCTTACACCGGCCTCAGGATCCTCAGCGTTCATTTGGTTAATCTCAGTAATACATGCAGAATACTTAAGTGATAAGGGCATCCCAGGTGGTGGTGCAGGAGCTCCTGGGGTGGCTCTCCCATTCCTTCATGCTAGTAGGAACAACGGTCCTCATACATGAAAGAAGAACGACCTCCAAGACAAGAACTCAGCTGCACGCAACTGCCCAAGCCAAGGCACGTGCAAGACCATGCAGGGATCTGAACTACGTGGACAAGGAGACATCACTGTTCATTGCTGAAGAAGAACGGGTTGTCCATACCCTCGTGGGCGTCTGGCAGCAGAAAACGCAAAGAGAAGGAGCAAAAAGGCCAGCAGTCATGAAGAAAGAGGGAACTCCTGGGGAGAGGTGGCAACCAGCAGAAAAGTGTCTGCATTTGTTATTCTTCTGCCTGGACAGCACTAGAGACACCTGTTTGCATTATCAGTTTCTACTCTGATAAAAGATTGGAATAAAAAATGAGAATAGTCTTAGAGACACAGGGCCATGCCGTTGTGGCTGTTCACCGAGAAGCAACACTGGTTGTTCCTTATTTTGCATTAAGGACACGTAGTCTACACATATTCTTGGCATACGTAGACATTACATACAGGAAACACAGCCCCAACAGCCCGCCACAAAGACATTTCAGAATTCCCTGCTCTGTCATGGTAATTCTGCATTTGGGAGTTGACTCAAGACAACGTGTGACAGGCACAGGCCACCTCAAATAGAGTCTCCTCCATGGATATTCTTGTCTGAACAGTTCAGAGGCCCAATAAATAACTGCCTTGAAGGCCACAGAAGATGAGCTGGGAGAACGACTGGTTCTCCAATGGCCAGAACAGCTAGTGGGGGCAGACTAAAGCTGTTGAAGGTTCAACCACACAATTTGTAAGACTGGGTGGGTTTAGGTGAACCAGTGGGTTTCCAAATAAACCAGCTGGATTTGACATTGCAACCACTGCAGCCTCCAAAAGCCCCTTCTCTAAAGGTTACCCAGAGGAAGATTTGATAAAATCACTACTTCATACCCTACTGTGAAATAACTCTTAGCCTGCCCCCAAAACATTAACACGTGTATTTCCTTCCGAATCACTCTTTTTTAAGGTGGACCAGGCATGTAGGATGAGTTATGCTCAGCGGTCAGGATTTCTCTTTGATATTTTAAATCCCTTCTGGCTTCTTAAAAAGGCCTCTTTTCCTACTCCGGTGCCAGGATAACTCTTTTCCTGGAGGCTACCAACCAGAGATATTCCTGTTCAAACTCCTCTAATCGAGATCACTGAGATGAATGAGCAAATTAAAGCAACAAAATAAGCTCACACTGCTTGTCTCCTCTCTCCTGCTTGGATCCTTACTGATTTCAAAAACAAAACTACAGTTTGCAAAACTGTAAAAGGATCTGCTAAAACATGCCCATTTCCTTTGGGACAATTATGCATTTTCCTTTCACTTTTCTTTCTATATGCTTTCAAATAAAAAAAAAAAAAAGACAACCTGTAAAAAAAGAGAAATTACAATGTTTTTGGAAAAGACCTCTAAACAGATGAAAGCATTTGGATCCTGTTGTAAAGGAATCTTGTCGGACCGTACGGGGACTCGCAGTGCTTGGCCAGCTCCAATCTAACACAATGACTCACAGTTTCTGCTCCCTGATGCCGTTTGATCCAAGCCCCCCTCAGAAGCAGGCACGGAAAGGGCTGCAGGAGCTGGCTCCCTGCTACCCTGCTCCTTTAGACATCCCTTGTCTCCTCTTCCCTCACAGAGACTGAAACACCAACCCACATGGTCATGAGAGGAGCTACACCATCCTTCAGTGGCTCCATCACTGCTCATGCTCCACCAGAAAGATGAGGTGTCTGTGAATTTAAGCAATATAAGCCTGAGCCACTCTGCGTTTTGCTCCATTGGTACATGCAGTGAGAAAGCCATTGTCACTGACAGTCCCTGCAGACAAACACAGCACACCACCGCAACAGATCTCATTCTATGAGAACATCTGGGAAAATACTTTAAGATTAGACAGGATTTGTTTTGTAATTCAGTGGTATAAAGGGCAAGTTTCCCTTGCCCTCAGCACACCTGCATGGCACCACGCAGACTGCAAATGGCTGCACAGAAGTCAGACTTGCATATATTGGAAATCAAAAGAAACGCTCTTTGACAGCAAATGCTCCAAAAAGATACTGGAAACACCATAGAATGATTCTTTGGTTGTGTGTTCAAATACCCATTATATAGATCTTAAATATACTTACAGAAACCTACAGATCTACACTTGCCCTACAACACTGAAATAGTTTCATTTACATGAATAACCAGAGAAAATTTACTAACGTGCATTGGAAATGACAGATCCAATTAAAGCAAAGAATAATCTCTAGTTCCTCAGGCAGACGGAGATAAAAGCATGATGTACTACAACAGATATTAAAACCAATATCTGCAGTAAACATTCTGCCCTGTAACTTGGAAATCAGCGACCCTTGACGTTGACACGTTACGTATGAAACACCGTACGGGAAGGAGCACCATGAGAGCAAGTTTGGGCTTCCTCCATGGAAGTACAGTGTCTTAGATCAACAACCCTTCGGGATGGAAGGATGAACTCTGGAATTTTCTATATAAGAATAGGCAAACATTCAACTAATATTACCTGCAGAAGCTCTGTTAACCTTTCACATTTAAATCTAGAGCTAGAAAGATGAGTGAATAAAAATGGAGCAAGAATCATGGAGGATGTGCTTACTGTCTTTTATTGATCTCATTATTTACATGACCAAGAGGACAGAAACTTTTCATTTATTTCCTGAGGAAACCCTTAATTTGTATAATTTGCTATAGAGCACAAAGTGCATTTCTTAACATGAAATTCACTCCTTTTGCTTTGTTTGCTTGCTTGCTGCAAGCCCTAAAAGCACTGCATCGGCTTCCAGCAATGTTGTATCAGTCGTTGCACCCAAGAATCTAGATGTGAGTTCAAGATCCAGCAGCCTCAGACGTACTCGGGTTCCTCGCTGGTATTTTCTGCAAAGAAAAGGGGAGAGGGGGGAAGAAGGTAAGTTTTGTTAAGCCATGGTCTTGCATCTCCTAAGGCTGCAGCCCCATAAAAAAACCAACGTGCTGCAACGAAGTCCAACGCTGCTGTACCTCATCCCCACTAGACCTGCTGGGGCACGCTCTGTCCCACCAAGAGCCACCCTCTGCCCAGAGAGTCCTTCCCGTGGAAGAGCAGACACCACCAGGTCCTGCTGAGGGAACACAGGCTCAACAGAAAAGCAGTTATTATAAAGGAAACTATTTGTGTCTTAGATCGAAATATTTTACTGTATCACCTGCTACCATGCGCACAAGTGTCTGCAGGAGAACACATCATTAAAAGGGAAGACAAGTCGTCGTTAGATCACTGGTGACATTGCTATTATCAAAAAGTGTAATGCCAGCTAGCTATGGTTTGTATTTCCAACTCTGGGCCACGGGCAAGGGAACTTCTTACCCCCTCCTCCAAAGAGTGCGTATCATCTGCAAGTTTTTTACCACATATAATTAAAAAGAAACCCCACAACTATTGTAACGAAACGTTCTGCCTACAGGGTTGAGTTTCATTGTTTGGAGCTCTTTTTTTTTTCCTTTCTTATTCCTTTTAAGTCAGAAGATGCCAGCATTCAATTCTGCCTACGGGGTTGAGTTTCATTGTTTGACGCTCTTTTTTTTTTCTTTCTTATTCCTTTTAAGTCAGAAGATGCCAGCATTCAACATGTTTTAAAAAAAAAACACCCTGTGTCAAGATGGCCATGCCAAATTAGCAAAGATTTTTGAAATACTACATCTATTTATAATGCACCTGGAGAGCTTATTGCTGGAGTCCAGCAATAAAACTGAGAATGGTTCTTCTTTTGAAAGTTCAAGCCATACCCATTTTCTCTCTAATCAAAGCATAAAGGGCTGAAGATGCCTCAAGCTTGACCACCTTGAGCAAAAGCAAAAGGAAGTTTGAAACATTCTCCAGTGCCAGCCTGGAGAAGATGTAGCAGGGAACTCTGGTTGAGGGCACTTCCACTTTCTCATTTCCACCTACAGCCCGGGCAGACAACCCTCACTGCCTGACCCCTGTTTGTCAGCGTGGAGAGGAACTGGGAACTGGGATTCAGCACATCAAACCAAGATCCTTTTGGAAAACTAAACATTGTAAGAAAAGATGCTGGGCTTGCATTTTTTCCCCCCATTTTTTCTCAGTTCTGTCTTCCGTTGATTTCCTGTGGCTCATGGTTAACCCTGGGTAGTCTCCTCCGTTACGTTACAAACTGCAAAGGGAGATCATTTGATGCCTCCATGAACCAGTAGCTACACTGGGCACTTTGGGGAGCAAGGTTTCTGCCAGCACTGATCCCAGTGAATCCTGGGGTGATCTACGTGAACCAGCACAGTGAAAATACTGCACGCTTTCTTGAAAACATGAAACCAAAGTCCCTCATCCGCCCAAAAGGTGAGTAACCACTGTTGCAGTGAACAGCTAGAAAAGGTCAATTCTGTCTCTTTCTAAAATAAATGCATTTCAAAACACAACAGTTTCACAACTGATGACAGTAGTGCATGAAAGCTAATGTGCACCATTTCGGAGAGGCAAGGCAAGGGCAAAACAAAATTAAAAAACAATGCATAAGATCTTAAAAATGGATGGTATTTTCTGATATTTGTTACGCTTATTTAGAAGAGCAAGTTCTCCAAAGAAGTCAGGATGTTTTTAGCTAAGAAGAGGAATGAAGAGGAAAGCTCCCCACTCCTTCCAGCAGCCAGCAGCTGAAGAACCTTAAATGAAGATGTCAGCTGACTAGTGATTTTAGACATTGGGGTATACGAGAGAAATCTTGAGAAAATTCTCTACCATGAACCCACCCTTTACCTTACCGATAGCCGCAGATTGTTGGGTTAGTGTTCAACCATAAAGTTATCCTGACCCCTAATACTACCTTTGGCATAAATTATCAGACTTTTCTGCCTTTATCAATGCAAGTGAGGAGTAGATGGGCATGAGAAAAGATAAATTAAAAAAAAAAATAAATAAGAGAGAGGAATTAATTTTTTGAGAGGCAGAGAGAGATATCTGAAAGGGAGAAACAGTGTATGGAAACAGAAAAGCGGGAGCTGACACCCTACAATGGGAAAAAACATGGCTTGGGAATATACGAAGGAGAGGATAAATGGAAAAGCAGGTGACATGAAAACACTGAACACACTGTAGGCAAATAGCGTAGAAATGAAGGCAATGGTACAGAGTAGAGACACAGAAGAGTAAAAAGTCTCTGAAAAGTAAAGACTGCATAAAACCGTTACAGCCTGGGTGACACTGAACTCAGATCTGTAAGCGACAACGTTCATTGCTGCTTGTAAAAAGATGAAGGACACATTTTTAACCTAATAAAACTGAATACTAAAACTAGTGGTTCTGTGACAAATCTTAAAGATCAGCAATCCCTCTGCCTTTTCCTTCTCTGCCTTCTCCTAGAGGAAACCCAGCTCACCCCTAACAGAAAACAGGACATTATTGTGAAAACTGGCTTCAGGGTCCAGCACTTTCCTACAGAAGATGGAACTGAAGGAGTTTCTATTGAATTAGAGGTCTCCTGCCGGTTCCACAGCGTGGAGTAGCAGAGATATTGAGTTCCATCCTTGTAACCAAAATACAAAATATTACTTTCATGATGCAACAGTTTGTTTTGGGCTGGTTGCTAGACCACAGTGGTAAGTGTTTTGCAAGTGAATAGATAAAACTATTTCTTCCTAATAAAATCTGTAAAAGTGCCTTTTAGAACCAGGAAAGTCAATGAGGAAAATCTGTGAAAGAACTGTACTTCTCATGATTAATAAATCTAATTTAATGATAAATGAGTAATCTTAAGCATGACTCCCCCAATTTTAGCATTACAAAGACTTCACTCATTGTACAGTTTGCAGAGAACTTTGCTCAAATTTCCAGACACAATTTAGCATATATTTGTAATGCAAAATCCAAGCAATTGTATTTTCGTAAAAAGCACCACAATCTTCAATGCCACTTCAGTAACTCAAGCAGATTCCAGATGCTTTAATCACACTTAATTATTAAAGAAGGTTTTCCAGTCACAGCACATCTGCTTCCAAAGAGATCTTGAAGAACATCACTTCAAGGAGCTGATATAACTGCCAATTTGTGTGAATATAAACACTAGAGCTAAAACTCTTTAGAATAAACGAGAAGTGGAAGATGTAGAAAAAGCAGAAACCTGAACATAATGTGCAGTGATGGTCTATCCACCACATTGAGAGCCAGAGGAAGTGATAGGTTGCTCTATGCATAGTAAGCATACTCTATCCACAAAGGTATTTATTCTTAAAACAGATAAACTATCCCAGGGTTAAAGCAGAAGCTTGAAGCAGGATCCAGAAACAAAGCAGGCATTTTATTATTTTCAGGAGCAGTGTCCTAGGAGACACAGGACACCAGCGTAAAAGGAAAGAAACTGTCTACTCCATTTTGCAAAAGGACTTGCTTTATTTTTAAGTAACAATGCTGGTATTCAAGATCATCCTATCTCATGACCATCGGCAGGAACCATTAACCTTTGCCCAACCCCCAAGCACTGTGTCTGTCAAGGGTGCATGTGTTGCCCTACTACTGCTTCCTATTGCCAGGTAAGAGTATTAAGTTCACTTTGAAGTAGACAAAGGTAGCTCGGTTGCATACGTAAGTGAAGGTATAGAAATATTCCACAGAACTTTAGAAAAATTATTTTGTGAGTAGAGCCAAAGTTTTCCCTAATTCTCTCAAAATTATTTACAAGAGCTACCAATTCTAAGCCTTGAGGAACATCAGTTTTGCATGGAAGGACCCCACCGAACACCCAGCTTCAGAGAAGAAGCTGGTGGGAATCCACCAGCTGCTGTTGCTGAGCTGTGAGCCCATCTCAGGCTAGTGTTGGGAGAGCACCCACTGATGCACCCACTAGAAACCCTCTTTCGAACTTCAGCCAAGGATCAATGAGCTCCAAAAAGCTTCCTCTAGTTTGAATGAGTGCTTGGCAGGCTTCTCTCCATCTCTCCTGGAGCTGGCAAAGCCCTGGGTATAGGCACACCTTTCCTCAAACGTCCACTTCAGAAGATGACTTTAAGTTGGAGGCAACCTGAAGAATTGTTTCAGTGCTCTTCGCAATTTTTGGACTGTCGTGGAAAATAATTTGAAAAGAAGCAAGATGAAAATTTTTTTGAACCTTAATTTGAACCCGAAGTCTGTACAACCGTGCATTGAACCTTAAGTTCAGTTATTTGAACCCGAAGTCTGTACAACCGTGCATCACTGGTGGGACACAGCACGTAAGAGCACAGAGAAAGCACAGTCCAGCCTTGCTAACGCTGCTTAAACCAACTAGAACAGCAAATACAAAAATTTAAAGGATGTGTCCTCTTATTACATAAAAAGCAGGGCCTTTTACATTTGCATGCAAATACCAAACTACTGTCTCTTAACTGACATAAAGTAGGTCTTTGCTGAACACACACAAGCAGCACAGGACGCACTCCCAAACTCCAGCAACGTGGAAGGTTCCTCTGACTGACCATACCCTGTTCATTGCCATTTGGTCCCTACCCTAATCCTTTCACTTTTGCACTGAAGCTTTAAATCTCTCAAAGTCTTACTGATAAATTAAAGGAAACAGCCAAAAAGCTCCAAACTCTTCACTCAAGACTTTAAACTTGTAATTTTAAAGAAGTAAGTAATTTTAATATGCCCCCTTAAAACACACTTATAAACAGGCCCTCCCTACCCCCACAAAATATTTTTACATAATAAAATTGGAGGGAGGGGGTTATGGAATGATGTATTTCAACTCTTGCTAACTTTCAAGAAATCTGAGGAGGAAATGTTCTTTTTTAATTTAAAAGTCATTTCAGGCTACAGCTAAAGGTTTACAAAGGACATGAACTCGGAAAGCAGTGAGCATGTGAAAACAAGGAGGCTAGAACTAAAAATGCTTTTTTTGATCCTAATT